TTTCTTTACACTGAGATGAAGCCCACACTGAGGGCTGTGCTCTTTGGTCTTCATTACAGAGTAGCTCTGCTTTGTCCTGCATTAACGGCACATCTTGGGGGCTTAACTGACCTGGGTGTGCTCAGTGACCAGAGAATCCACATCTCAGCCCTTCAGTTCAGCGTTGCTCTCTGATTTTTAAGCATGTGCAGCAAAATTTCAGCACTCTTTTTGGGCCACTGACCGTGTGTCTAACCCCACCGTTTGACCTGGGCACACCTACCAACGCCACAATTGTAAAATCAAAAGGGTACAGTTGCTTCTGCAAAGAGACATCTTTCAAATACTTGGTAACTTTCCGGATATGCATACCCTTAATGGCCTGGGCAGTCTCATAGATGTTCTTAAAGTGGATCCAGAGATTTGAACCTCTTGATTTGCATGATTTTGTGGGGTTTTCTGGGTCAAGTGAGTGTGAGATTGTCTTAGGTGGCTTACAGGGAGAGCTTCCTCTGTTCACGTTAACATTGCATTCCTCCCTGTGTCTCCTGCTCCCTTCATCTTTCCTCTGCTAACCACCCTCTTGATGTATATTGCCTACCCCGTCTCCCATGTTAACACGTGTGTACCCTCTACCCTGTGAATAATTTCCCCTCCCCCTCCCAGCCACCCACCCCGTAACCATCATAGATTGTTTCCTTTTTCAAGAAAACCTTTCCTTAACTTTTTACGTTGGCCTCATACAATAATTGTCCTTTTGTGATTGACTAATTTCACCCAGCATAATGCCCTCCAGGTTCATCCATGTTGTGAGGTGTTTCAAAGATTCATCATGATTCTTCAGCATTGTGTTGTATTCCATTGTGCATATGTACCAAAGTTGAACCATTCAAAGCTCAGGATATTTGAGAACGGAATTGTCTTAGCAACTCATTTGTATCTTCCTCGCTTCCCCAGGTAAGCATTGGAAGCACCCAGAAAGACGACGAACCATGTTCACTGCAAAGCAACTAGAAGAACTGAAGCTCTTGTTCTATCAGAACCCATATCCAAGCTACACTCTTAAGAAGGAAACAGCCTCAAAACTGGGCGTCCATCCAACAGCGCTGCAGGTCAGCAAACTACTTCTTTGGGCGACTCTAAACTCTAAACTCAGCGACTTTCTGGGATAATACCTAAGGCTTGGCACTGCTCCAATCCCCAAGAATCCCAAGGCCCTGCCTCTTCCTTCCATAATCCCGATCCTCCCCAAACCTTAAGAGCAAGGGCAGCAAACATCTCCTATAAAGGACCAGAGAGTAACTATATATATACACACATATTATATGTATAGTTAACTTTTTATTGTGATTTGGGTGTAACTTTATACAGCAAATTGGTTTTTCATTCAACAATTTTGATTCCTGACCTTGAGGGTAATCCCCATAATGCAACAGCGCTCTTCCTACTTCCTCTCCACGTGTTTCCTGTTTCCATTCATCTTTCTTTCCTACCCGCTCCTGCCTTCAGAGCTTGCTTTACTGGCGCTGAGTCAATTCTGACTCGTAGCAACCGTCAAGGGTAGAGTAGAACTAAATCTCTGTGGGAGCAGACTGCCTCATCACTGGATTTGAATAGCTGACCTTGAGTTTAGCAGCCCCCAGCTTAAACCTTTAAGCCATTAGGGCACCTTTGTTGTTGTGAAGTGCTGTGGAGTTGGTTCCGACCCATAGCGATCTTGTATAGAGTTTCCAAGGAGCAACTGGTGAGTTTGAACCACCGACCTTGCTGTTTAAACCAACTTTGCAGTCCAACACATTAACCCACAGGGCCACACCAGGATTGCTTTTGATCCATTGTTTTAAGGAGTGGGTCTTTCCCTGATGTTCCTGTTCACCTTACAGACCTGCCTGTTGACCTTACAGACCTGCCTGTTGCTTCCCTGGTGTTCCTGTTCACCTTACAGACCTGCATGTTGCTTCCCTGGTGTTCCTGTTCACCTTACAGACCTGCATGTTGCTTCTCTGGTGTTCCTGTTCACCTTACAGACCTGCATGTTGTTTCTCTGTGGTTCAGCTCAGCCAAACAACAGACAGGTCTGTAAGGTGAACAGGAACAGTAAGCCTGTGGAGTTTTGTTTTGTTTCGCATTTTTCTCCCACCTTTCCCAGGACCCTCTAAGACAATCCCTTTCAGAGCAGTCAGTACCCGGAACTGGGCACCATCTAGTTCTAGCCTCAGCATCATGGAGGCTGGGATCACATGGTCCATCTGTCCTTTGGATTAATTGTTTCCTACTCTTCTTTTATATGATTTTAGGGTTTATGGGCTATGCTGTCTCTGTTGTCACTATTTGTCCTAATGGTTGTAACCTGAGAGGAGCAGTAGACCATATACAAACAAGACTGTGGACAATGAAATTTGAACTTCATGTGATTTTCACATGTCGAGAATACTAGTCTTATTTTGGCTCCCCATGCCGCCCCCAATCATTTAAAAGTATAAAAGCTGCTACTAGCTCATAGTTTGTTTCTAGGCTGTCTGCTATACTAGAAATTCTTTGAAAATCAGAAATTTATTCTGCCACAGTTCAGAAGGTCGAAAGTCCAAGTTTATTGTGTGGAGGTCCTTTCTTGTCTATTTCAGCTTCTTCTTTGCTAGTGGTTAATGCATGGGACTGCAAGGTTGGTTTGAACCGCAAGGTCAGTGCTTTAGGCTCACCAGCCATTCCTCGGAAACCCTATACAGAGTCACTATGAGTCGGAACCGACTCAACATCACTTAACAACAACAACAACATTGAGTGGTTTACTCCTATTCTTGGTGGCCCCACGTACACAAGTAGAATTGTGCTCCACAGAGATTTTTAAACTTTTTGTAACTTTAGTTTACAGATACCATTTTTTTTTTTTTAATCATACACTTTGTTTCCTCTCAATGATTGTAATCCCCTCAGTGTGACATCACATATCCCACATCCCCTCTTTCCCAGCCCTTTTGGTCACCTGACAGGATCACCAGTCCCTGTCAGGTGACCAACAAACATGAAGAAATGCTCAGGATCACTAGCCATTAGAGAGATGCAAATGAAAACGACATTGAGCTATCAGCTCACTCCAGCATGGATAGCAAAGTTCCATAGGGCTTTTAAGAGACTAGGATCATTAGTCCTATAAATACTGTAAATACCCACAATCTATGACCCTGAGTCACCCATCAGCTCTGGAAAAGAACTCACCCCAGTAGTTCGATTTCCAGTCAAACAACAGAAGGGTCTACACACTAGGGGGGTATGTACGCATGTTTCAGAAGAGTCAGCCTTTGAGCTTAAGGGGGAAGTGTTTGCCCAAAGACAGAGACCAGCAGACAGGAAGGGGTAAGAAGAAAGGAGGCTTGAAGGTGGTTAACGGGCACAAACTAGGATAAGTGATGCTACATTGTTGGGATTACAATCAATGAAAGAAACAAAATCTGTGTGAATTGTTGAATGGAAAACTGGCCAGGTCTGCAAACCTTCATCCAATTCACAGTTAAAAAAAAAGAAAAGAATCATTAAAAACAAACAAGCCACAATGAAATGCAGGCCTTTTGAGGCAATGACTGATGTACTTCGGCGTGAATTTGAACTGCTAACATCTTTTGGCTTAGCTGGAAGCTGTTTTTTTCAAGTCCCCAAAAACCCCAAACTCATTTCTGGGGCCTCGATTCTGCCTCTTTCTCACCCTACAGGGCAGAGCAGAACTGCCTCATAGGGTTTCCAAGCCGGTCAGTCTTTCCAAGAGCAGACAGCTTCACCCTTCTCTGCGGAGCAGCTGATGGGTTTGAACCACCCACCTTGCCGTTAGCAACCCAACACTTAATCCACCGCACCATTGAGAAAGGGCTTCTTTTTCAGCTCCTTGTTGTTAAGTGCCATCGAGTTGGTTCCGACTAACAGCAACCCTGTATAAAAATAAGGTTTCCATGGAGTGGCTGGTAAGTTTCAACTGCCGACCTTGTAGTTGAAACTGACCTGGCTTTATCCCACAGTGCCACACCAGGACTCAGCTCCTAGTAGCTCAGAACCCTTGGGAGTTCCTGGCTTTGTAGACTCCTTTGATTCCATGAACTTCAGCTAGTCTTCCCGTCTGCCTTCCTCCTGTGTCAGCTTGGTTCTGTGCCTAACCTGCTCTTTGTCTAATAAAAAATTAGGTTTAAGGTACAACCTAAATGGATAGCGTCTCATTAAAATAGCAAAGAAAGTCCTGTTCCAAATCGGGTTTACATCCACAGGAACAGGGCCGAGGATTCCTGACACGTGTATTTTGAGGACACAAAAGGTCAAACACCATCACTTAGGATGTTTTTGGCTTAGTTTGAGCTGGAGCTTAGTTTGACCTCTGCCTCAGAGCATCATCGTCTGAGAATGACCCCATGTCTCCTGTCTCCTGTCCTGGGCTCCTCACTTCCTATGCCCACCACTTCTCATTCCCGCCCTTTATGAGCCGGAGGAGGTCTGTAAATAAGACCTGAGGTTAGTTCTTGTCACCCAGGACCCATTATCATTGTTATGTGTCACAGAGTCAGTTCTGACTCATAGCAACACTATATAGAGTTCCTGAGGATCGGCTGGTGGGTTTGAACCACCAACCTTGCTGTTAGCGGTCCAGTGCCTTCCTACAGTGCTACACTGGAGTGGTGCATAGTATTGGGTAAGGCAAAGTTGCCTTGGTGGCACAAACAACTAAGTGCTTGACTGTTAACCAAAAGTATAGCAACTTGAACCCACCCCGCAGGAGAAAGATGAGGACGTCCCCTTCTGTAGGGACACCAGATTTAGAAGTCTTTCAGGGCTTAGCTCCACTCCGTCTGTGGGATCGCTAAATCACAATCAACCCCAAGGCAACTGGCCTGGGCAACAGACTGCAAAGTTTTCGTCCCACATTGCAGCTGGATGGGTTCAGCAGCTAAGTGCTTAACCACTGTGCCACCAGGGCTCCTCTCCATAAAGATGGCAAGCTTGGAACCCCTGTGGGGCAGTTCTGCTCTGTCTTGTGGGATTGGTCTGAGTCTAAATGGACTCCACAGTCTTCTTCACAGTAATGAGTTTTATTTGGTAAAATGAAGGTACCCAAGTGATGAAAACAGCTCAGTGTTCAGCTGCTAACCAAAAGTTGAGAGGTTCAAAGCTACCCGAATTCTCTGAAGGAGAAAGACTTGGTGATCCTCCTTAGGGATTGCAGCCAAGAAAACCCTGTGGGGCAGCTCTGCTCTTTCACACACAGGGTCACCACGAGTCAGAAGTGACGGGACAGCATCTAACAACTTAGGGAAAGTGAAGATTTTTCTGAAATCTCACCTCTTTTGTCAACTCATTTCTCTTCCCTTTTTTCACTTCAGGTCTGGTTCAAGAACTACAGAGCAAAACTCAAAAAAGCAAAATGCCGAAGGTATATACAGCGAAGACAACAACAAGATGCTGACCATCAGCAGTCCCCGGAGACCTGGGTCCCGAAGAGTCCTTCCAAGGGCAATATGGATGCTCCATCCACATCCTGCACGTGTACCTGTACCTGTCTTGGATCTCTAGTTTACACAGATCATCTAGCACCCTCATTCCAACTTAGCATATGTCCCAATTTGAAGGTTCCCACAGACCACTCTGCCGGACACAAAATAGTCCATTTTGGTTGCTGCCAAGATCCGAACATATACTGTCTTCGTCCTATTGTGAAATCTCAAGTACTTTCACCAAGCTTAGAGTCTCATTCTTAAGATTCTTCATCTCTACAGAGACATTCAAGCGAATAAAAGGTCTTAGTGGATAGGAATGCTTGTGCGTTTTCTTTCTTACTACATTGGAGCCCTGATGTGGTGCTATGGGTTAAAGCGCTGGATCGCCAGGTCGGCAGTTCAAGCTCAACAGCACTTAATAACAACAATAAAGCTCAAAAAGGCATCTAAGGGCCATAGTCTTAGATTGTTGAATCTACTTTTCTTTCTCCATTGAACAATCTTAATAGTTAGTGAAAAGCAATTGAGTGTAGATGTAAGGGTTTATTTCAGAAAACTCAATTCCTTTTTATTGCCCTATAGATCTGTTTTGATGACTACTCTATTGTGAAGTGCTGGTGGGTCAGTTCTGACTCATAGTCACACTGTAGAGGGTTTCTGAGGAGCATCCGGTGTGTTTGAACTGCCAACCTTGTGGTTTGCAGTCCAGTGCTGATCCTACAGCGTCACACCAGGAATCCAACTACATTGTCAAGAGTGACCTCCATCCCTGGGCAAATGCTGTTGTTTTATCTCCTATGGTTGATTGTTCTAACATTGTCTTATTGTCTTCCTTATAGATTTGCTTAACTATTATTGTTTGGAGTACAAGAAGTTTCAGATGTTAATTCTGTGAATTCTTTAGACTGTGTTGTGTTGTGTTATGTTATGTTATGTTATGTTGTTATGTTATGTTATGTTATGTTATGTTATGTTATGTTATGTTATGTTATGTTATGTTATGTTATGTTATGTTACGGAGTCCGGGCATGGTGCTGTGGGGTAAGCACTGGACAGCAAAGTCAGTGTGAACTTCAAAGTCAGTGATTCAAACCCACCAGCCAATCCTTGGAAAACCTTTACAGGGTTGCTATGAGTCATAATGAACTCGGTGCCACTTACCAACAACAACAGTTGTTTGGCTGAAATTGGAATCAAGAGGGTGAGTTCAGTTCCAGATCTGTATAAAGGTTTCCACCAGTCTGTATCTGACCAGTAAGCCTGATCTGCTTTGTTTTGTTTTTTAATGGATGAATTGTCATGTTTTTAAAACTTTAAAAAATTATTCATGTGAATTGTGTGAAGGTTTACAAAGCACATCAGTTTTCCATTCAACGATTGATACACATTTTGTTTAGTCTCATTGACTGCTGGTCTTGTCTTTTTTATGATTTTGAGTTTTGGTTTGCATTTCTGTCCCACCTTCTAATGCGACCCCTTTCACAGCAGTTGCTAGTGGTAGGTAGCTGGGCACCATCTCGTTCTGGTCTCCAGGTGGTGGAGGCTGATGTAACTTTCACATGCAGATGAGGCCATTGAAAATACTATGGTTTGGGTCAGGCACACTTTAGTCCCAAAACTGACATCTTTGTTCTTGAACACTTTAAAGAGGTCTTGTGCAGCAGATTTGCCTGAGGCGATACATCGTTTGATTACTTGACTGCTGCTTCCATGAGTGTTGATGGTGGATCTGAGCCAAATGAAGTCTTTAACAATGTCAATCTTTTCTGCATTCATCACGATGTTAGTATTTTAAATATTCTTTGCTTATTTGCAAAGAAGGTTGTATCATCTGCATATCACAGGTTGTTAATGAGTCTTCCTGAAATCCTGATGCCATGTTTTTCAGTTTCTCAGATTATTTGCATACAGGTTGATTATACATGTGCTATCATGGCACACCCCTTTCCTGATTTTAAACCATTCAATGTTTTGTTCTAAGGACTGCCTCTTGTTCAATGTATGGGTCCCTATGTAACATATCTGGTATCATATTGTGTGTTGTGTGTTACCGAGACAGAAAGCCTCATCTTTCTCCCACAGAACTTAGCATACAAAATATATGTTAATAGACATTATGTTAATGGTAAGGTTTCTGGTGAACAGGAGGCTGTTACTAGTTAAGATTTTGTGTGTGTGTGATTTATTTCACTTAGCCTAAAGTTTACGAAGTTCATTCATGTAACCAATGGTTGTTGTTAGGTGCCATCATATCAGTTCCAGTTTCTAGCAATCTTGTGCACAACACAACAGAACCCTACCCGGTCCTGAGCCATCCTCACAATTGGTAAGCTTGAGTTTATTGCTGATGCCACTGTGCCAAACCATCTTGTTGGGGGTCTTCCTTTTTTCACTGACACTCCACTTTACCAAGTATGATATCCTTCTCCAGGGACTAGTCCCTCCTGATACTATATCCAAAGTATGAGAGCTATATTGAAAGTGCCATGGGCTGCCAAAAGAACTAATAGATCCATTTTGGAAGAAGTGCAGCCAGAGTGCTCGTTGGAAGACAGGATGACCAAACTTCTTCTCTCATACTTCGGACATATTGTCAGGAGGGACCAGTCGCTCCTGAGAAAAACATCATGTTTGGTAAGGTGGAGGGTCAGAGAAAAAGAGGAAGACCCCCAATGAGATGGATTGGCCAAGTGGCAGCATCAATGGACTCAAGTGTGGTTGGCCCAGGATCAGGCAGTGTTTCGTTGTGCTGTGCATAAGGTCGCTATGAGTCGGTACTGACTCAATGGCACCTAACAACAACATGAGAGATCAAGTCTCACCATTCTGGCTTCTAAGGAGCACTCTGGCTGTACTTCTTCCAACACAGACCTGTTTGTTCTTCTAGCCGTCCATGGTACTTTTAATATTCTCCTCTAACACTATAATTCAGATGCACTGATTTTTCTATGGTCTTCCTTATTCACTGTCCAACTTTCACATTCATATGAGGCTAGGTCAGGTGTAGTTAAGTTTTTGTGGAGTCAAAATTTATACATGGATTTTCAACTGCATAGCAGGGTCAGTGCCTCTAAGCCTATGTTCAAGGCTCAGTCGTATACTCAAGAGCAGGATATACCTTTTTAGGTGTCTATAGCGTAGTGGTTACAAATCGGGCTGGGAACCGCAAGGTCAGCAGTTCAAAACTACCAGCTGTTCCGCGGGAGAAAGATGAGGCTTTCTGCTTCCATAAAGATTTACAGCCTCAGAAACCCTGTACAGGGTCGCTGTGAGTTGGAACCGACTCCACGGCACATGACAACAACATAGAACACTCAGAGCCTTGGTGTGTGGCACTATGGGATAAGCACTTTACCATAAGGTCGGTTTGAATTGCAAGGTAGGTGGTTCAAACTCACCAGCTGCTCCTTGGAAACCCTATACAGGATCACTGTTAGTCAGAACTATGAGTCATAGAGCAGTCATGATAGACCATATGTATATTGGGCCATAAGACATGTTTCAATAAATGAAGACACAATTGAGAGCATACTGAGGTTAATTTTTGGAATATTATTTGAAAAGCACTCTTCAGAAAGTCCATATAGATATATATGATCTTAGTCTACTTAGGGACCCCTTCTATTACAACAAGGAACTCTGGGAGTGTAGTGGTTATGAATTGGGCTGCTAACCTCAAGGTCAGCAGTTTGAAACTACCAGCTGTTCCACTAGAGAAAGATGAGGCTTTCTGCTCCTGTAAAGATTTACAGCCTCGGAAACCCTGTACAGGGTTGCTGTGAGTCGGCACCAACTCCACGGCACACCTCTCTCTCTCTATTACAACAGAGACTTCCAATAACTATCTGTGAGTAGAGGATGCATGAGGGAACAAACGAGTGGATTTCTCATCCTGTTAGCATAAGGACCGTTTCTAACACCAAGGTTTAGTGCCCATTCTCATCACTCATCACCCACCAAACTAGCATTTCCCAAATTTGCCTGCTCATGAGACTCCAGCAGGGAAGTTGTAAACTACATATCCCATGATGCCTCTGTTTCAGAAAGGACCCAAAGGAGACCCCTATTTATCAGAGTATCCCTGTGGTGCTTATAATTATACAAATTGGAGGGAAGATGTCTCCACACTAGTTCTCTATGAGCTTCATGACTGGAACAAACGGCTCATTCAAACCACTGCAGGTTGTTCCTGAGTCTTCCTCCAATCCTGATGCCACGTTCTATCGGATTATGTGCTCAGTATGGTCCTGGGCTGCATGGTTGGTTTCAACGACAAGGTCGGTGGTTCAAACTTACCAGTTGCTCCTTGGAAACCAACTCACCAGCACTTAACAACAGAATGATTCAGTGTGGTGAAACCTGATGCACACCTTTCCTGATTTTAAACCATCCCGTATCCCCTTGTTCTATTCTAACTACTGCTATTTGTACTAAATTCTCCCCTCATTGTGGTTCCCAGATTCTCGGTCCTTCTCACTGAAGACGTCTGCTTAAGAGAAGCCTTTGTTGATCTATTATTTAAGGTCCAGTTGCTGTTAAATTGATTCCCTACTCCACACAGCGCCCCCGTGTGTGTCAAAGGAGAACTGTGCGCCACAGTTTTTTTCAATGGA